CTCGACAAATGCTACTTAAGGCCGGCCTTGAGTGAGTCAAGCATTCAGTCTTGCTATGCTGCTTTGACGCTGGCTCGACTTTGACTAGACGTTGGCATTATGCTGCCTCGAAGCTGGCAAGACGCTGGCTGTGCACTAGCGTTGCGGACGACGGCACGAGGTGGAGACAGCATACTGGCGTTTTCTGCATTGTGCGCCAGGCTTGTTGGGATTGCATGCTGATGTGACGCTACCTCTGGTCTACATTGCATGCTGATGTGGCGTTACCTCTGGTCTGCATTGCATGGTGACGTCGCGCTGCCTCTGGTCTACATTGCATGCTGATATGGCGCTACCTCTGGTCTACATTGCATGCTGATGTGGCGCTACCTCTGGTCTACATTGCATGCTGATGTGGCGCTACCTCTGGTCTACATTGCATGCTGATATGGCGCTACCTCTGGTCTACATTGCATGCTGATGTGGCGCTACCTCTGGTCTACATTGCATGCTGACGGGGCGCTGCCTCTGGCCTACATTGCATGCTGACATGGCGCTACCTTTGGTCTCCATTGCTGATGTGGCATATGCCATCTGTCTCGACTGTTGACGTGGCATTGTCCACGCATTCTACATGAGGTCACTGGTTGCGAGGAGGAGGAAGATCGGGATTTGTGGATGAAGGAGGTCAGGTACTCACCTGAGGTCAACGTCGTCACTGTAATCTGGTATGTCTTCATGGTCTTCACGAGATAAAGTGCCACGTGGCACTATTGTGTGTGATCAGGAATATACTTATTATCATTGTGAAGTGAAGAGGGAAGAAGCCCGGAGAAGGAGAGGGATCTGAAGGGATTATTATTGTGTGATCTTTCATCTTCTCCTTTGTCTATTCCCCCTCTTCTCTCTTCTTGTGATGGTAATGAGATCCTGTTTGAGATATCACTTCACGATTTGGAGACTTTGATGCAAATAATGAGACTATTGATGTTTGACGACTTCGGAGTATCTACCAAACTTAGTCTACCAGACTGGGTTCATTACAATTTGGTATCGGGGCAACTCTTTCATCGCAATTTGTTGTCTGCTATCAGGTGCTGACGTGGCACCCAGGTAAGTGGGAAGTGCCGCATGTGCAAAACGAAACACGTTTATTAACGCGCGCGGTATGTACCGCAAGTCTCGACATTGTAGTATTGCACGTGCGAGTATAAAGAGAGGGAGTGCAGTCTGTTTTGTGAAAAGTGGGAGAATCCTAAGAGATTTATGAGTCTTTGAGACTCGAATGCTTGTCATGCCAAATGTTTATTGTTGAGTTGTGACGAGGACCCATAAGTTGGTCTCTCAGTTTGAGTCGTTTTATGGTAGAGACGCCTTTTGTGAGAAGGCAGTCTTTTGCTTATTGGAAGACTCATCTTCAGAGAGGGAAGATGTTTTAATGAACGGTCGTGTGAAAGTTCATCCTAGAGAGAGAGGGATGGTTGGGAGACCTATTGAGTGAGACCCCCTTCGTATGAAGGGTAGTTAATAGATTCAGTGGCCTGGTAAGTTGGTTTTGGATGATAAAGTCTGAAGAGGAGGACCACGTTTTTGCTTGGCCATTGGTTGGATTTTTGTGAAGGTCGCAAAAAGCTTCATTGAGAGATGTCTTCAGGATGTGTGGTCTTCTTGCTCTGATCAAATGAGGGGGTCACGGCCTTGCCGACCTAGCGGTGATTCTGTTTTGTGATAGTGGAGAGGTTGTCGTGCTCTCTTTGTGTTGTCCCACAGAGGGCTGGTAAATGCCTTTTATGTGTGACAAACTTTTGCGTAGTCCCGCAGTAGGCCTGTATTGTTGCGACACACCGTTCAGCCACTTGTGTTAATCTTGGGACATTTATGAGAGACCCAACTAGGGGTATAACTAGCATCACTGAGGGGCAACCCTCAGTGTTGGCTGCTGATCGGCGCAACCTGACAGCGGACCCACGTCTCGCCAGAAGGGATAAAGACTTAAACGGGTGTGGCCACCCAGGCGGGTTTTACCTGCCGCGGGATGGCGTGCGATAAGAGTCGAGTCTTTTTTGAGTCATGATTGAATGCTTATCAGGAAAAAGTCTATCGTGGCGTAACCTGCGAGGGCACTACCGCTGAAATAACAAACGCGGTGGGTCGCAGATCTGGCACGATCACCCAGACTATGGTGGGTCAAGATGAAGACCTAGCCTTCCTGTACTAGATTGCAAGAGGTGTGTTGAAATTATATTTATATATATATGTTTGATTATGAGAATTATTGGAGGGAGGCGAGAGTGCCTTCTAAGGTCTCGGTTAGGGCCCGCGTCCTTGGTTATTGCCCTGCTCGCAGGGTAGAGACTACGGACACTTAACGAGAAGTCGACGCTTGTCTAAGACAAAGGGGAGAGGACAGTTAAGAGGGGTCGCTGAGACTTATGCTGTAGTACGTATGTCTAGTACACTTGCGTCCTAATGTCAGGACAACGGAGACCCAGGTTGGAACCCTGACGACATATAGTTATAAGGGCTTGGATTGTTGAAGACCTTGAACCTGAGTCTGTCGCAGCGCTGCTCCAGCCAGCGCTCCACCAGTGTGTCGCCAAACTTGCACACCGAAAAAGAGGTCAGACTCTCCGCCCGGCCCGAAGATATAGCGGCCTGCTTTGCCTCTTGGGCGGTGACTTCCAGGCCGCTCGGCCTCCCAAGCAACCGGTACCTCCTCCCTTTCGGAGGGAAACATCATTGCAGACTCTGATATTGCCCGTACAGGCCCTAGACCCAGACTGGTTGGACTGATATCCGTCTAGACCAAACCTACAACTACTGGGCCTCTAAAAATGCCACTTTTGTCTTCTTCTGCTCGGCCTCCGGTGCCTGCATATTTACCCCCCTGTCAGGTGCGGTTCCGGCCTACCCGCTACTTGAGTGTTTTTCCCCGCTGCAACCCCTCAATGTCACGGCCACAGGTAAGTACCGGCCCTGAGGGCCCAATGAACGAGCAAGTGCCCTGACGGGCCACACACATACTCATGCCAACCAGCACTCAGACAGGCACGGTCACACACACACCCAAGTCAACCAACACTCAGACAGGCATGGTCACACACACACTCAAACCATCCAACACTCAGACAGACATGCAGTCCAACAAGCGTACACACACAGACTTAGTAGCAAGCGGGACACTCAGCAGGGCATTCAGTCTATGGGTAAAACTCATAAATCAGTTGTGTGTTTCAGTCCATGTATGGACGGGTCATCACACTACTCCCCCCTCAAGGGCGAGGTCCCTTCGAGCGAGTAACTCACTCTGAGTCCTCGACAAATGCATCGTAAGCGAGCAAGGCAAAGAGATTCCTAGAGTACTCTGTTGCAGTGAGTCTTGCAAAGATCTTAGGTACAACGATAGTGGCGATTTGTCGCTCGTATGCTTTGACAACACGCGGTGCACTGTGTAGCAGTTCCTGTTTGGAAATCCAGTATAGATCGTCTAATGGGTGATATATGAAGTGAACCTGGTACTGTCTGTTGCGTCCCTTCCCTACGTGTTGTTTGATCCTGTCTATCTCATGCCCGCCTTTGATTGCGCGAGGGATCATATCTTCGCGATAATCGAATGTCTTAGCATCACGGTGGAGGTACAGTTTGGATGCGTGGAACACAGGGTATGTGCGCAGATGCGCTGGAACATCAACGACGTACGAAGGGCCAAAGTGATCTTCACCAATCACATCCAAAACTTTACAGGGCCCATAATAGAGAGGGAGAAGCTTGCGTGAGACTCCCTCGTCTTCTGAGAATTCAGACATCTTGACCCAGACATAGCTTCCTACCTGAATATCCGACGGTCGGTGCTTCTTGTTCGCATGATGGATCATGGCGTATGGTCGCTTGGTCATAGTTGCAATGGCAACTTTGAGCAAGCGATCATACTTGGCCCTTAAGCCAGGTCTGCCGAGTATTAAACCAGCTGGCTTCTCAGGGAATAGGTAAGAGAGCGGATTCTGGATCTTCCAACCGTAATGCAGCCTGTTGGGTGTCATGTCGGTGGCGGAGTGGACGGAGTTGTTGTATAACCCCTTAATGGAATACAACTCTTTGTCCCATGTTTCCCGATCCGGGATAATCAAAGCGCGAAGAAGTTGAAACACAGTCTGGTTGATCTCCTCAGCCAAACCATTGGGTTCGGGGTGTCGGCCAGATGTCATACACAACTTGATCCCAGTTGAGACATGAAGTCCTTCCACTAAGTATTAATGAAGCGCGGATCCTGATCGCTCACAAGAGTCTTCGGGGCTCCGAACTTCAGAATGTACTTCTGTTGGAACTCACTAATCACCAGTTTTGTTGGGGCGTGAGGCGGCAAAGGGATCAGGTTGGGGAACTTAGAGAATCGGTCAACAATCACCATGACCTGTGAGTAGCCGCTCTTACTTACCTTTCCCATGTCGGTGAAGTCGATGGAGACAGACTCCCCGGGACCATCGGGAATGGGTAGGGGTGTGAGTAGCCCCATCGGCTTTTGTCTGCATGGTTTGATTCGTTGACAGACTTGACATTCAGCCACAAACTTTTCAGCAGTCCCTTTCATGCCAAACCAATCAAACTGTCTCAACAATTTGTGTACATTTTTTGCCATACCGAAGTGTCCGCTCCGGCCATGAGTCAAATCCAGAAAGTGCGTGCGGAGAGGCTCATGGTTGGGCACACACAAATGGTCGTGGTTCCCGTAGCGACGAAAAATCGGTCCTCCATACTCGTGAAATCAGGTTGACTGCTAGGGTCAACTCGTAGCCGCTCAAGGATGGAACTCAGCTCCGGATCCTTGGCGGTGTGCTCTACGAGCTCCTCCTTCAGTTTCTTCCGGAGGTCGTAGGATTTGACAAGGCAAGTCATGTACTCAGGGTGGCGAGACAATGCGTCAGCGACTCGATTATAACAACCATTTTTGTGTCTTAACTCAAAATCGAAAATGTCAATCTCATGGAACCAGCGAAGCACGGTAGGGGACAGGGTAGTTTGCTGTTTGATCCACTTCAGAGTCTCATGATCTGAGAAGACTTTGAAGTGGTGTCCCAAAAGATAGTGTTTTCAGTGGTCCAACGCCATACGTAAAGCTTAGAGCTCGTGCATGTAGGTGGAAGTAGCTACCTTTACGCTGGGCATGCGTTTGCTGTAGTACTCGAGTGGCCGCAAGCCATCGCCGTCATCTTGTTGCAGCACTGCGCCAATTCCATACCGACTTGCACCCGTAGTAACTACGAACGTCAGTTTGGGATCTGCAATGCGGAGTACCGGATAACTTACCAAGGCGTCCTTCAAGGCTTGAAAGGAGTTTGTGCACGCAGTGTCCCAAGAGTAGGGAACATTCTTACTTGTTAGTCGAGACAATGGATGCGCAACAATGGAGAAGCGGGGCACAAACTTCCGATAGTATGACGTGAGACCAAGAACAGAACGCAGTTCGCGAATGTTCACGGGCTGAGGCCAGTTGCGTATGACCTCCACCTTGGTTGCTTTAGGCTCTAAGCCTGCAGCAGACAACCAGTGCCCAAGATAGATGATACTATCCTTCGCAAACTCAGATTTCTCTAAGTTGAGATGAAGTTGCGTCTTCTTGAGGATGGTCAGTACTTCCTCAAGGTGCTTGAGGTGTTCCTCCATGGACTTGCTGAAGATTAGAATGTCATCGAGGTAGACCACCACGAACCGACCAATCTGTTCGCGGAGGACTTTGTCCATGAGGCTTTGGAAGGTGGTCGGTGCGTTCGTGAGACCGAAGGGCATTACGGTAAATTCATAAAGCCCATCACGTGTTTTGAACGCAGTCTTGTGCTGGTCTGCAGGATCGACTTCAATCTGGTGGTAGCCAGACTTGAGATCGATCTTGGAGAAGACCTTGCACCCACCTGCGGCATCAAGCAAGTAATCTATACGAGGCAATGGATAGGCATTCTTTCTTGTGATGCGGTTTAGATCGCGATAGTCAATACACATGCGGAGTTTGCCTCCTTTCTTCGGAACAAACAACACAGGAGCAGCAAATTCAGATTCACTAGGCTTGATCCACCCCTAGTTAATCATCTCATGAATCTGTCGCCGGAATTCCTCCAACTCGCCAGGTCCCATTCGGTATACGCAGCCCTTTGGAGGAACAACACCTTCAACCAACTCGATGGTGTGTCGGACCGATCGCGTGGGGACTTCACGTGGCTTGGCCAGAACTTTCGGAAAACGATCGAGGAGGTTTTGGATGTCTGGTGGGACCAGTGGGGGTGGGGAATCAGCAAAGGGGTCGCCTAGATCCGGTCGGAGGTCGAGGATAGAGATGACCGAATCTGAAGTAGGATCATTCGGACCATTAGAAGGTAGAGAAATTGAGGTGCTAGAAGTAGAAGTATTAAAAGTAGGATCACTAATCAAAGTAGTAGTGGTATTAACCGCAAAAGTAGATGGCACATGAGTAGGACAACAAAGGCAACATACAATTGTTTTTCCTCCTCGTGCTTGCGCTATTTCTTGCAGAACTGCATAGCATTCAGAAAAGTCACTGGGGACTCGTGCTTCTCATCCAAGAGGACAGGAAACTCGTTCCCTTGAGCATCTTTGATCATGAAAAGTGACTCCTTCCACTTGGTCCATTCGCATTGGGACTGCAACCAACCCAAACCAAGGACAGCGTCGAAGGGGAACTTGTCAAGAACATAAAAGTTCAACGTATGTGTGACAGTTTTGTCCTTCTCAAAGGTAGTGCGCACACCTTTGACTTCATGCGTAGAAGAGGCAACTTCTTTGTTGCCAACTTGGGTCCGGCAAGGGTTCTGCAAGGCCACTTGCTTCATCCCCAAGCCCACTTTGCGTATCCCGTGAGGTGACATAAACTTAGCCGTAGCACCACAGTCAACCAAAAAACGGAGATAGCGGTGGTTTATGAGAGGTTTGAAGAAGATCAACTTCACCGTCCCTTGGGCACACTGCAGTTTCATCTCAGCCCAATGCTCCAAATCGACCGTCCCAGACTCCCCCCAAGGCTCGACATACAAAACGTTACTCACCCCAGCCTTGTGTTCAGCAGATGATTGGGCTTCAAGGGAGGACTGCTGATCTGCCTCAGATTCAGTCTCCCCCGCTGTAGAGTTTGTTGAAGTTGACTCTACGCCCGGTTTTGGTTTCCCTGCAGCCTATAACAATCTTGTGCCTTATGGTTTGGTTTTTGGCAATGCAGGCATACCCCCTTCTTGAGTCTACCCCGCCAGTCATTTTCAGTAATCCGGAGTCGACCCAAGGTTTAGTAGTCGAATCCTCCGGTTTAGGTGGGATCTTGACTCCCTTGGGAAGTTGGACATAGTTCTTCCCTATACTCCGATTCGGTCCCTTAACATTGACAGTCTTTTTAAAGGCAGTAAATTTTTCTTCTTCTTTGTTCGCATCAGACTCATGGGCTTAAGAACAAGCTTTATCAGAGTCATGTTCTTGGTCGTCACCAAGAGTGGGGTCATCTGCATCGGCTTCTTCTTCGGCCTCCAGTAGGTCATGCACAGCAAAACGGTTGTTGTCTTTGAACCATCTGCCGCCCATGGGTTTTTTGTTGCCTGCTGTGGTGACGAGGTCTACAGCCTCAAGACTGACTATGTCCTTCATCAAGGTGAACCAGTCAGTGTAACCAATGAAGTCCCTGCCCAGGCGATTAGTAAAGTTGGTGGGAACCGCGCCTTTGACCACATCCAAGCAAGATTGCGCAATCAGTTTCAATCCAGGTGTAGCAAACATCTTGCTAAGATAGGTCTGCAGACTTTTCATGGAGCCCGTCCACTTGCTGCACTTGATTTTGTCAAGCTGAATTCTTGCCCTTGCTGCAGCATGTGGATCCAAGTATTGCGAAATGAGGAGTTCCTTGAGGAAGGCAACTCGTGTGGTCTTAAGCCATCTGGTTAGTTCAATTTTAGGAACCCCAGCTCGCGTGGCTTGGACTTCTAAGAAGCCCCGCACGACCGCCTCAACATTCATTCCCATTATCACGGACTGGGTCTCAGGTTGAGTCCCCAGCACCTCGAAGTATGCCCTCATGGAGCTGATCCAAGATTCGATGTCTTCTTTGCTGTCGTACCTAGACGGTACTGGAACCGCCTTTCGGTCCACGTAGGGGCCGACGCGGCTGGGACCAGCACCTGCTGGTTCCAATCTTGGGGCTGCAGCAGTTGCAGAATTTCCTGCCTCGTTGCTTGTCACAGCAACAGCGGAATCTGCACATGTTGCGAGTCCCGAGGGGGTTGCCGTCACATTCAAGGAAGAAGATACAGTAAGAGAGGCAGAGGTAGTTTCAATTGCAGCTTCAGGTCCAGGAGGTAGAGGAAGAGGATTGGCCACTTGGGCTTGTCGCAACTCAGCCACCTCCAGTGTCAGTTCATGGTACTTACGGGTCATATCAGTCAGATCATCCTGAAGTGTTCGCAACTTTGTGAAGGCTTCAACGATCTGAGTGGTATGATCTTCAAGATTCCTGACTTGAACAAGGGCGGTGAGTATAGACTGCAACTGTTCCCCACACTGCTCTTTAGTCAGCGAGGGAACAGTCTCTAGGATGGCCACCTGCCTTTTCAGCAATGTCTCCTTCCTCTTCTCTGCCTCCTGTTCCCTTTTGGTTGCACTATCTAAGAGTGCTTGTAGATACGGTTTTTTTGCATCACTGGCTGCATCTAACAAGGCCCGCCATTGCATTGAAGTTTTTGGACCGTTAGTATTGACAGATGGGTCAAAGAGTCGCCAATTAACAAAAAAATCAATTAGACTCTCAAGAGGTTCACTCCCCGTCTCACTTGGACGAACACTCCTTTTCCCAGTCCTTGCCCACTCCAGATAGTCACCTTCCCTCTCTGTCTTCTCTCTCTCCCTCCTCTCTCTCTCTTCTTTCTGGCGGCGGGTCTCCACGGGCATCGGAAATGAACTCAGAAAAACAGACTTGAAAGCTCAGAGAAGAGAAGGTAGAAATCCTAGCCGGAGCGGCATTTCATTTGGACGTAGAGAGCAGCAAACCAAAGAAAAACAAAAAAGTTCAAACGAGAGGTCTGATCCAGCAACCCAGTCTGATCAGACTGCATATGAGGTCCTCTCGAGTCCAGTCTGACCAGCTCCGTGACCGTACAACAAACCAGACAACGACTGACTAAATGCAACAACGGAGAATTGAGTAGTGTACAGGGTGCGAGTCAAGCCACAAACAGTGCAATCCAAAACGGCATGCGAAATGTCTCAGCCAAGATCCCCTCGGCAGTGGGTGTCCTAATCCAAGAAGAATGAACTTTGTATCCCAGCCAAGAAGACAAGAGGTCAATGCCTAACCGATTTGGGTCCAGAGACTCTTCTTGTTTGGGCCCGGTCCTGCTGGGTCCCAGGGGTCCCACATAGGTCGCAACCAGGTCCCAACCAAGAGGAGTTCCACATGGACTTAGTTCATTCTCTACTGCACTGAAAAACGAAATTTTAACTTCTGGCAGAACCTACAAACTACAACCATTCAGAGATGAAAAGACAAAGCACTGTAGAAAGACTCGACATTTAGGTCAAGATACTTCATTTTCCATCCATTAGGTGAGTAGGTAGATCACATGCATTCATTCACACAATCAAGACCACAGAGGAGTAGGAAAAGAAACCAGTGTTTTTCCCCGCTGCAACCCCTCAATGTCACCGTCACAGGTAAGTATTGGCCCTGAGGGCCCAACGAAGGAGCAAGTGCCCTGACGGGCCACACACATACTCATGCCAACCAGCACTCAGACACGCACGGTCACACACACAGCCAAGCCAACCAATACTCAGACAGGCATGGTCACACACACAACACACTCAAGCCATCCAGCACTCAGACAGACATGCAATCCAGCAAGCGTGCACACACAGACTTAGTAGCAAGCAGGAAACTCAGGAGGGCATTCAGTCTATGGGCAAAACTCAGAAATCAGTTGTGTGTTTCATTCCATGTATGGAAGGGTCATCACAAAGAAGAAAAAGAAGAAGAAGAAGAAGAAGAAGAAGAAGAAGACGAGGAAAGAGAAAAAAAAGGAAAAAAAAAAAAAATAACAAAAACAACCACGCGCTCGTTGCATCGTGGCCACCACGTGAATCAATCAATCAATCAATGCGTGCCAAGGAGGACAAATAAAAAGGACCAATAAAATCCGGTATCGGATCTTGATTGGTTGATTGATTGATTCCATCGATCAATCAATCCATCAACCAATCAAGATCCGGTCCATCTTGATTGGTTCGTTGATTGATTGAGTCAATTGTTCAATCAATCAATCCACCAATCAACCAAACAAGATCCGATCGATCTTGATCGGTTGATTGATTGGTTGATCGATTGAATCAATTAATCAACTAACCAATCAGGCAACGAGCGTGTTGATTGGTTGGTTGATTCACAGACGTGTTGATTGGTTGGTTGATTCAATTAACCAATCGATCAACCGATCAAGATCCGATTCATCTTGATTGGTTGAATCATCGATTCTATTGATCGATCAGTCCATCAACCAATCAAGATCCAATCCATCTTGATTGGTTAGTTGATTGATTGCTTCAATCGATCAATCAATCAATTAATCAACCAATCAATCAACCAATCAAGATCCGATCGATCTTGATCGGTTGGTTGATTGATTGATCAATAAAAAAAGAAAAGACAAAGGGGGAGAGAGAGAGAGAGAGAGAAAAGAGTAGATAGATAGATAGATAGATAGATAGAGAGAGAGAGAGAGAGAGAGAGAGAGAGAGGAGAGAGTAACAAAGCAAGGTGCTACGGACATTTGAGCACTCTGCCACGTGGCCACCGCGTGAAGGAGAAGACCATGACGACGACAAAGAAGAAGAAGAAGAAGAAGAAGAAGAAGAAGAAGAAGAAGAAGAAGAAGAAGAAGAAGAAGAAGAAGAAGAAGGAGGAAATTGGAAGGAGAAAAGGAAGAAGAATGAAAGAAGAAGAAGGAAATTGGAAGGAGAAAAAGAAGAAGAATGAAAGAAGAAGAAGAAGAAGAATGAAAGAAGAAGTATCGAAGAGGAAGAACCAAAGTAGAAGAAGAAGAAGAAGAAGAAGAAGAAGAAGAAGAAGAAGAAGAAGAAGAAGAAGAAGAAGGAGAGGAAAGAGAAAAAGAAGGGAAACAAAAGGAGAAGAACAACAAAAACAATTGCGCGCCCATTGCCACGTGGAAACCACGCAGAGGAGGATGGTGCTGCAGGAAGGAGATGGATTCGGAGCATTGCTGGAGGAAGACAAACAAATGGATGGGCGCCAATGAGGCGGGAGTGGGGATGGGGTGGTGGGCTAACTCATCATTAGAAACCATCTCCACGTCGTCCGCTTGCCAAGTGTCGCCCGATCCACTTGTCACGTGTCGCACGATCCCGTTGCCATGCGTGTTGTCAACCTCCTCCACTTGCCAGTTCTGGCCGACCGCTTGCCAACTCTCTCTCTCTCTCTCTCTCTCTCTCTCTCTCTCTCTCTCTCTCTNCTCTCTCTCTCTCTCTCTCTCTCTCTCTCTCTCTCTCTCTCTCTCTCTCTCTCTCTCTCTCTCTCTCTCTCTCTCTTGCGCTGCTCCCTCTTGCATGGGGATAGTATATATGGTGAACAGAGGCAGCTAGGCGGCAGAGAGGGCGAAGCGAGGAGAGAGAGAGAGAGAGAGAGAGAGAGAGAGAGAGAGAGAGTGTTCACTTGTTTTTTGAAAAAAAACGCAAAGGCCCTATCTATTCTGGGGGGCAACAGTCCGGTTGCTTATCACCGGCAAGCATGAGAACAAGTTTTTTTTGGGGAGGAGATAGAAAAGGAAAGAAGATGGTCTTACCCTTGGGGCTCGAGACGCCGACCAGGGGGGTGCTGCTAGGGCCACCGCCCACCTCAAGTCCCAAACCTCCTCAAGTGGCTCCTCAGCCAGCCGGGAAACACTCAAAGGTACCCAGACACTGGACAGGGGGGCTACCTGGGGGGGGGGGATGCAGGCGGGGGGCGACGCTAGTAGCCTCCTGAGCCTACCTTTCCAGATTACAATCAATCGGATGCCTATGCAATGTGCAATGTACACCACTATGACCTCAATGTTCCTCAGGCATCTACCTACTCACCCCGTAATATACCATAGGCACTCCCCATTTTGGGGCTAACAACACAGAAAAGAAAACTATGGCAAAACGAATACCAAACAAATTTACAAAATACCTAACTTGTATACAAAGCGATATACAAATATCGGCCTGAGCAATGATACCATACTAGTTGTATATACACTATCTAGGCACAGCCTCATACGATTTGGTTCCTCTAGTTCCTCTGTTACATCCTCACTTAGAACCGTGTTCACCCTGCAACGTCGGTGGCTACAGGGCTAATTGTGACCTATATAGACTACTATAGACCCAAGATTTACATTTAACCCGAGCAAGGGAGGCTTTTGAAGTATGAACAAAGAAGAAAGAAAAATCCGAATGCGTGAAATCGGATTACAGATTTAGTGAAATATTTAGCATGTTCAATGATTCTTTTTCATATAGGTATTTGGGGAATCTTTTCAAATAGAACGAATATCCTTATTATGTTAATGCTAGGTTAGTGGATGTCCAATCAGTGGACATCTCGCACGGACGTCCGGTAGGGGAGTTGTCCAGGATCCCGGACAAGTCATTTTCTGGTGATTGAAAAGTGAAAAAAAAAGACATTGGGGGGGTCTGCACACCGCACGGAGACCCCGTAAACAAAATTTCAGCTCATTTGGAAATAGAAAATAAAAAATGGGGAAACGGGGTGGGATGGGGGGCTGGGTTGGGCTGGGTGGAGGCTCCGCTGCGGCAGAAGCAGAGCTGCGGCAGCAGGTGCAACATCAGGGGGGGTTAGAGGGTCTGGGTCTGCATCTGCAGAGCTGCTGCAGCGGGCGCAACATCTGCTGCACATGCAGTGCCTTCTGCAGTAGATGCAACAACTGCTGCAGCAGAGCAGGTGCAGCAGGTGCACCACCTGCCACACCTGTAACAGCTGGGTCATCTGCAGCATCTGCTGCAGCAGAGGGTGCAGATGCTGCACATACTGCAGGTGCCGCACCTCTGCACCCGCTGCAACAGATGCTGCCGCAGGCGTTGCATCTGCTGCAGGAGGCATTGCATTTGCACCAGATGCTGCATCTGCTGAAGCAGCTGCCACATCTGCAGCAGCTGGGTCATCTGCCACATTTGCTGCAGCAGACTCAGTAGCTAATGCAGCTGCAGTACTTGTGGCAGCTGCTGCACGCGCAGCATGGGTTGCAGCAGATGCATTCGATGCATCAGCTGCTGCATCTGCAGCATTTGCAGCATGTGGTGTAGCAGATGGCAGCTGCTGCTGCATCTGCAGCTGTTGCAAATGCTGCATCCGCTGCAATGGATGTTGCAGATGCTCCAGATGCAGCAGCTATTGCACCTATTGCATCTGCTGCAGTGCATGCTACGCATGCAGCAGCTGCAACAGCAGATGCAGCACTTGGGCCCAGTCTGGGCTGTCGATTGTCAAGATCTGACAACCCGGATTGGGCCTTTTTTTTCCAACTTTTTAGACCCTGCTGGCCTCCACAAAATCTGTCTCGGGCCTGGTCTTCCACCCCATGACCTCCCAAACACGTCCAGGCCTGAGAACCGCCAAAACTGCGGCCTCCCCCAATTTTTCTTAGGGGACGGACGAGTTGTCGTGGCCGGATGTCTCTCGGAGTTGTGTGAACTGGACAACTCGGACAACGGGCGGGTCCCGGATGTCCACCCCGGTAACCTAATGTTAATGTCAATTGAGTTAATGTTACTCCGAGTTTGATTGGCCTTTCCGATCATCTCTAGTTTTCACTGAAGGTTAGACTATACCTTTTATCTCACCTCGTAGGCCGAAGGCGGCGTCATACGTTTACGCTTTCCATCTTCATATGCTAGATCCAATACTAGGAGTCAGTCGAGCCGCTCGCCTTAGGAACTAACTAGATCCTCAATTGAAATGAAATTGGGTGAGTACTGGCTAATTAGCATGAAATCAATCATGCAGTCCTCTTTCGAGTCTGTCGTTATGGGCTCTATGAAGGTGCTCACATTCATTGAATGGCATTCTTTTCTACATACAATCCACCGGCTTGCCACCGTATTGCCATTGCTGTCAATTTGAACTAGCCAAGGCCACGCATCAGATAGAGACTCACACGCACCAACTCTGCCAACCAAGACTTTCTAGCACTTGATAAGAACTCTATCCACCCTGCATGCATAAACTCCTAATAATGATCACCATCGTCATCATCCGCCAACATACACCTAGTCAGTCTCAGTACGGATCGGTGGCCACACCTGCTGACAGCTATAGCACCACTGGGGCTGAACTTCGCCAGGTGTAGTGGCCGCCTGAGTGGGAGGGGCAGAGGCTTGGGAACATAGTACCCCTGCCTTTGTGCCAACGATGTCATGGCTGCCTGCTGACGTGTCCAGCTCTAGATAACCTCTGTCACCACTGCTTGGCAGCTATGGCTTAATGATAACGAAAAATATTGTAAGGAGACTCATCTTCCTCTGATCTATCATCTGGAGCGATTTCCTGATTGGTTCATTCATATCCAAAAGCATATGCAATGAGCTGGTTCATACTATGCACCTGGGGCTGTGTGTGCCGTTGAATGCTGTATGGGCCATTCAAAGGAATGGGTTTCCATTCAAACACCGCCCTCGGGCCTTTAAGAGAGAGGCAGCGAGGGGTGTCGAGAAGACCAAAAAAATGAAAATGAAAAAAACCAATCAATCAACCAACTCTCTCTCTCTCTCTCTCTCTCTCTCTCTCTCTCTCTCTCTCTCTCTCTCTCTCTCTCTGTGTGTGTGTGTGTGTGTGTGTGTGTGTGTGTGTGTGTGTGTGTGTGTGTGTGTGTGTGCGTGCGTGTGATAGGGGTGGGGTTGGGGCTGTTGCACGTTGACCCGCTTTATGCAAGCATCACTAACGTTTTTATCTAGGAAGATTCATACGCCCAGCCAGTCCTGCCCGGCCGGGCACCCAGGTGTGACGCCCGGGGTACCCAGGTGTGCCATTTTTTAATTTATTTTTTTCCTGCGCTCTCCCAGAGGATCCCAAATCCGGGCTCATTTCTTTTTTTGCGAGTTGGCTGTGAAGAGGGGGGGGAGGGGGGTATAAATTGGTTTTAAAGGGGCTAAAGGGGTTTAAAGGGGGGTTCCTCTGTGTGATTATGTTAGTTTCTTTTTTATCTCCGATCCTGTGAGGAAATCTAATGTGACCCTCAGCCCAAAGTCGTCTGAATTTCAGTTCTACACAACATATTTTTTCCCCGGAATTTTTTGATTTGTTTTTTGTTTTTTTTTTGGCGCTGGGGCTGCTCAGAACCCTGCCCAGGGGTCATTCCCGGCCAGGCACCCGGGCGTTCACTCGGGCAAAAGTTGCCCGGGCGCCCGGAAAAACAGCCTAGGGTTTTTTCTGCTTCTATAAGCTCACATGAAAACAACACAGGATAAGGCTTGTGCTCCACTGACTTACTTGGAGGAAATCCCTCAAGATAGTCAGGGCTCCACTTCCTCCCTGAGGAATTTTCCCTCTGGGCAGCGTGTGCCCCGGGAAACAGACGTTTCAGTTCGTACTGGTCCACTGGCAGCACATTTGGCGCCCACTGTGTCGTTCATCAGAATACTCATATCCTCTTCACCCTTAACACAGCTGTCAGAACCTAGAGGCCACAATTGATCCCTACCCACCACACCCCACACACATTTCAACCTGAGTTTCACAGCTGACTGTCAGCAGCCTCAGACTGGACGGCGGCCAACCAGCTGACAGATCAAACTCATTGGCAAAACTGCTTGCCCACTTGCCAGCCTAGGACAAGGCTGGGGTCTGGACACTCACCACACACATACACACAATCAGATGTATACATCTCTTCTTCCCTTGCTTTTATTCCCAGTTTTTACCACTTGTGTCCAAGTGAACACCTTTAAGATGTGCCTAGCAAATGCCTGTTTGTTTGGAGTGCCTACAATAGTATTGAGGGGGCTGCTGAGTTCAGCATGCCTGTGTTGTGTGTCCTTGACGACACGATGCATATCTGTGATTTCCCTGGGTGAGGACAGACACTCATTGAGCAGCTCCCTGGCTTTTGATGGTGGTGAGAACCTGCAGTCTGTGCGGTTCTACTGATGTGCTACTTTGCTCCGTGTTGGTTGTGTGGACTTCCTTGTTCATGTTGCCTCCGACTGCGGTGAGAAGCTACAGTCTGTGGGGTTCTGCTTGTGGTATGCGTAGGTGATACACTGCCTTGGTCTGTGGTGGTTGTGCGGACTGCCTTGTCCGTGATGCCTCCTCGCCTTATTGCCCATCCACTTGCCAGGTCCTTCCACACTACTTGCTTTGCCGTTTGGCTGCCTTTTGCCTTGCCGCCTTTTGCCACCCTGTGCCCTTCGGCTCCCTGCCTTGTGCCTTGTGCCTTGTCCCTTCTCTCCTTACTGCCTCCGTGTTGTGCTGCATTGACCTTGCTGCAGCAGAGTTGTTTTGCGTCGCTGCCTTTTGCCTCACTCCGTTTCTGTGCTGCTCTCCTTGTTGTCTTTCTGCCATTGCCTCGCTGCCTTGTGCCTACCGTCTTCACCCAAATAGAATGCCCAGTCATTATAGTAGCTGTTTTTGGACTAAAAATTGCACCTAATACGGCGATAATGACCGGGGTGTCGTTTCCTCACTGCCTTTCCGCGCTGCCTGGCTTGTCATTAGACTGCTTTTTGCCTCGCTGCCTTTGGCTCACCTTCTGCCTCCCTGCCTTTGTCCCCCTGCCTTTTGCTTCTCTGCCTTGAGGCTTGTGCCTTGGGCGTTGTTTGCTCACAGCCTTGATGCCTTGTTGCCCTGTTGCCCGCTGCTCATCCAGTCGCACTGCCGCTTGCCTTGTTGCCTGGCTTCATTGCTGCCTTGTGGCCTGCTGCTTGCCGGGTTGTTTGTCTGCCCTACGGCCTCCCCCGTGCCCTCCAGCCCATGGGCCTTGCAGCTCCTTGTCGTCCAGTGCCTTATTGCCTTGCCCTCGCCTTGCTTCTTGTTACATCACCCGCTTGTTGCTCACTTTCAACAGGCGTTCAAGAAGTTCACGACTCAAAACATTAATATGGGGATTATGCCCTTCTCCCTTATCAGAAAAGGAACCCTCTGGGCTATATGAAAAAGGAGATGTGCAATAAATTTCAACGATATCAGCACCACCTCCAAGAATCCCCTCATCATCATCAAACAGATCATTGGAACCAAGATCCAAGCCCTCTGGAACAAAACAAAAAAAAAATCAGATACAGGAACTTCGAGGACCGGATTTGAAAAACCGAACTCGTCAAGAAATTCACAATTCTGAGACTAGGCAATGGAAAACTTGGCTCATTTGTGGGTGAAAGGCTAGTTCTCAAGGATTGGCTGGTCATACCAGCACAGCTCAACCAGAACCTGATTACCTGCCCAATGACAGCCCCGATCTCACGGGTGGTTGACTCGAACTCATTGCCCACTGACAGAGCGGAACAAATAATCTGAACCCGAAAGGTAAGCCATGAGCCCAACCCACACCAAGAGCGATGTCCCACTGCGAGACCCATTCCAAGGTATCCCCTGACCCAGGTCTACCCACACCAACTCCGTCACCACCAGGTCCCCTGAGGCCTCTACCCAGCCTCTGACTCATATTGCCCAGAATAACCGGTAAAACCCGAAACCTTAATCAAAGCATATCCTCCCTCTCAGATCCAAAACCACAAATAGACTACTTTTTTCGACTACTGTGAAGCCCTCTCACCTGGCTTTTTTATCCCCATGCATGCAATATCTCAAACTAGCAGGGTAGGAAAAGTTATTTGCAGTCTTTTGCATGGTTGGTTTCAGTCCACAGGCACCCAAGGAGATAAGGTAACAGTACAATTTACCAAGGATAGCATGCCAGAAAATAGAACATCCATACTGCCCTAGTTTTCCGAGAAGATCCGACGACCCAATAACCGAGAGGAGCAGATACGAGTTAGAAAAAACAATTAGCATTACAGACATAAGCTCAACAGTCTCAAGGTCACCGGTGTAACCCAACTGCAAGAGTAAGTTAATTGGGCCAGATTAGGCAGGGGTGAGGGGTGGTATATCCTTCCCAAGAGAAGTAATCAATGCTGTCTGCTCCGGCATTCCAACCATAATGGAAAGGAGCGTGGAGTGAGTACAATATGCATTTTTTTGACTTGCCGTGTCACCATCCTTGTGTATTTTACTATTTTTCCTTTCCGTTCTTCGTCTTTTTCAGTCTCATACTTTTGCTCTTCTTGTCCTTCATCCTTTTGCGCTTTGATGCCTTCGCATGTCTGCATTCCTTGCATACTGCTGGCTGCAATCTCTTTTCTGAGTGTTCTTTAGGCGTGATGTTTACGCAACTTGCTGTGATGCAATTGCGGCATTCTTACTCCCTCGTTCCTCTCCCCCCCCCCCCCCCCCCCCACACGCCCACACTTCTCTCAGGGGTATCACTAACTATGGGTGACATGGTTAATTCTTACCCATCAGTCAAATGCATCCTGGGTAGACTGTCTGTCCAGGTTCAACCTCCTGATGAATCGGTGAAAGTCTGAGGAAACAGTCTGGCACAGTCATGCTTTTTTTGTGGAGTTGTGTATAGCAGACAAGACAACTCACACCTCGTCACTGAAACTGAGGGGACCATTAAAAACAATTCCTTTCAATGGAAAAGTTTCATTGGCCATGTCTCGGCAGTACTCAGCGGCACTATAGATTTCAATGGAATTCCACATCTATAGAGCCCGAAGAGTACTGCTCGACTTGCTGTTGATAAAGCTTTTGTGCAAGACCCCTGTGATGACCCGTCCAAACATGGACTGAAACACACAGCTGATGTCGGAGTTTTGCCCATAGACTGAATGCCCTGCTGA